TGTAGCAACTCTTGCACCAATCTTATAATAGAAATAACCATAATAACTAGTGACAATTAACAGTTATTAATACTTTATAACAAGATAACATGTTAGGTTGCACCATATGAAATTCTTACCTACAAAAATAGCAAGTTCTTATGATCCAAACTAATATTTTGCTAATTTGTTATCTATCCTCCTCCTCCTACTCAACCTGAAGAGAGCCTCCATGAGAGCAGGCATAACCCCCCCAAATTGTTTATTTATCGGGGGGGAGGAAAAGGGGGATGGGCAGAGGGAAGAGTGAGTCTCAGCGCAGAGCCCGATGTGGGGCTCTGTGGGGCTTGAGCTCCCAACCCTGAGATCATGACCTGAGCCAAAATCAAGAGTCAGATGCTTAACCAATCATGCCACCCAGGTGCGCTGAGAGCAGGCATTTTTCTACATTTTGTTCTCTGTTGTATCTCTAGTGCCTGGGACACAGTGGCATTCAGCAAGTATTTGCTGAATTAATGAATGAACTTGCTAAACACCAACTGTTTGCCTTATACTCTACTATGTGATTTATATCTTATAACCCGTTTGTTTCCTCCTAACATCCTGATTACTGTTCTTCATCAGGTGAGAAAACTGTGGGTTGGTGAGGTCAAGTAACTCATCCAAGACACTCCTGACTAATGTTTTATGGTAGGCCATTTGTATTTATGCTATAAAAGTTGTTTAAATTTAGGCTGTCTTTCCTCCCTCAACTAGACCATGCACAGATTCTACTGGAAACAGAAAGAATTGTAATACTAAAAAGAGAGGGAGGTGAGGAGGGGAGGGAAATAGAAAGAGGGAGCAGTCAGTGGGTATGGGGAAGGCTTCCATCTTGGTGAAATGCAGATAAAACAGTATCTAAAAATTACCCTCAGGGGCGCCTGGGTGGCTCAGACGGTTAAGCGTCTGCCTTCAGCTCAGGTCATGATCCCAGGGTCCTGGGATCGAGTCCCGCATCAGGCTCCCTGCTCCTTGGGAGCCTGGTTCTCCCTCTGCTTCTCTCTCTCTCTCTCTGTCTCTCATGAATAAATAAATAAACTCTTTAAAAAAAAAAATTACCCTCAGCCCTTCAAGTCCTCTGCTTGAGGGTGGAACCCTTCAGTTGTCTTGACACTTGGAGCCCCATCACTGGCATTGCTTTCTTGGGAACAGCAAGTGGATAATGGATGGCGGTTGCCCGTAGCCTACAAGGGAATCTCTTTGGACTACCAGACTCTTCTGGCAAGCAGGGAAGTGTTCTCACCCTTCTTACCATTGCCTCTGTGGATTGGGTTGGAGGCTCCTACTTACAAAACTCTGTTGCTTTACAAGACTTTTCCCTAACCTATCTATGGAGATACAGTGCCCCCCCAAACCCACGTTAATAGTGTTTTTAAATGAAGGAGCTTTGAGTTCAAACTTTGTTGATGTTACTCACTCTCCTTCCAGTGCAAATATGCTGTTTGTCTTTTAGAAACATATTGTCTTGGAACATCTTGTTCAAGAACAATGGTTACAGTCTGTTAGTCCCAGTGTTCTTGACGCCAGGGTTCTTGGGTCCCATTTATAATTTGCCCAGGAGTAGCCTATTGTCATTTCCACTTTTGCTGAAATGTCCTTTCCCTTCAGCCTGAAAGAATCAGTTTCTTTTCTAGGACACAGAATCTAAGACAGTTCCAATATACATTTTCTAAAAGTTGAAAGAAGATAAATGATTTCTCTAACTCTCTGAAGTAAAATGAACAACTCTGTGCTGCCACAAAATCAGGGTGACCCTCCCAAGTGAAAATTCTTTGAGATTTGTAAGACATTTTGAAATGGAGAGAAAAAGCCCACATTTCTTTCTAGAACTTGTAGTCTAACCCTGTAAGTACAAGGCTGCAAAACAAAAAAAGATGGATTGTGAATGAAAGCACAGGAGTCAGACTGAATGAAGGTGAATCTCCAGGTCTACTACATTCCAGTGAGTGGCCTCTGGCAAGTTAGTGAACATCATCAGCCTTCGGTTTCATCGTGTGTAAAACCAGGGTATTGCCACCTGCACTATAAGGATGAGGAAATTAATGTAGCATGTAGCACAGTACCTGGTAAAAGTTCAATAAACATGAAATAAAATATCAAGCATTAAAATATATAAGGAGGGAGGGTTCTCTAAAACTGACTCTCTTTAGGGCAGCTAGCTGGATCAGTTGGAAGAATATGTGACTCCTGATCTCTGAGTTGTGAGTTCGAACCCCATGCTGGATGTAGAGATTACTAAATAATAATAATAATAATAATAATAATAATAATAATAATAATAAAAAACTTAAAACAAACAAACAAACCTGACGCTCTTCTAATGCTCCAGCCCCTGGGTGAGTTTAATCATCTTTTACTATGAATCAATGGAATACATTTAACATCTTTTTCTGTGCCTTTAGGGACTAATTGAGGATAGCCCTAGCCTTAAAGAAGCCCAATATTAAACAAGATTAAAAGAGAAATTACTTCTTTTGTCCCAGACAGCACAATTCAAGTGTGAAGAAAATAGGAGAATATGCTATTCATTGGAATTAATGGGTCACTCCATATAGAAAAGCTTCTCCTAGCTCAGAGATCAAGATTCCTAGAGAAGTAAACACAACACAAATTGATCCTTTCCATGGTTGTACAAAATATAAATCATACACTCTTAAAAAAGAACATTGGCTGAAAAACACCCAAGATTCTTACCAGTTTGGAGCTTTCATTTTCAGGCAACTGTTTAATACCAACTTCGAGACTGCCATCTTCCTCACTGCTAACAGGTTCAGTACCGCTCTGATCCTATGGGACATTAAGAAGAAAATGGTAAAGATGTTATTCTTCACTCACACTGCCCAGAACTATATAGATACTCAACCACAATAGCTTGTTTTATTATTGTTGTTGATACTGTTTCCTCTCTAGTGGCCATTCCTATTTTCCTTCTTTGCACTAGAAGGTCATCCCCAAAACCTCTGCCCCTAACCACCACCCCCTGGATCTGTCCCTGCTGCTTACAGATATGCCTTAGAAAAAGCTGATGCCTATTCTCTGTTCCAAAGTTGGGCCTGATTGTCTTATGGTTAATCCCAATCTTTTTGCCAATGACTTTGCCAGGAGTGGGTATGCGATCCAGTTCTGCTCAATGAGACACAAAGACTTCTAGAAAAGTTCTTCTTTTTTTTTTTTTTCCCTAAAGATTTTTATTTTTTAAGTAACCTCTATACCCAAGGTGGGGCTTGAACTCACAATCCCTAGATCAAGAGTTGCATGCTCCACAGACTGAGCCAGCCAGGTGTCCCAGTTCCTCCTTGGTCTTAAAAGAACCACAAGAAGATCCCCTACCTCCCACATGAGCAAAGTTGGAGATGGAAAAAGTGGACTCTGATGGCTAAAGTGGGCCATTGCATCAACCTGACCTGAAGTACAGTCTTATTCTTAGCAGCCTTCACATGAGAGCTCATAAATTTACTTATTGTTTCAGCCAGTTAGCTCTTCTATTCCCTCTAGCCAAAACTTTCTGACATGCTTATTTATCTTCTGTGCAAGATTAAACTACTTGAGGTAAGAGACTGTATTTATCCTGTTTATCTCTGAAACTCAAGTACCTAACACTATGTTTGGTACATGGAAAACACTGGACAAATCCTGGTTGAACCAATGAATGGAACAGTTGTTTTCTTGATGGTTATTTTCTGCAGAATTCTAAAAACATTTATTTAGGGCGCCTGGGTGGCTCAGTTGGTTAAGCGACTGCCTTCAGCTCAGGTCATGATCCTGGAGTCCCGGGATCGAGTCCCGCATCGGGCTCCCTGCTTGGCTGGCAGTCTGCTTCTCCCTCTGACCCTCCCCCGTCTCATGCTCTCTCTCTCTCAAATAAATAAATAAAAAGCTTTAATAAAAAAAATTTATTTAATATAAATGAGACATAAGAATTAGCCCCATTGGAATTCCAAAACAGGGGCTCCTGGGTCACCCAGTCAGTTAAGTGTCTGACTCTTGATTTTGGCTCATGATTTCAGAGTCCTGGGATCAAGCCCTGTGAAGGGCTCCATGCTCAGTGGTGAGTCTGCTTGAGATCCTCTCCCTGTGTCCCTCCCCCAGCTTGCATGTGGGCGTTCTCTCTCAAATAAGTAAATAAATCTTTAAAAAATAAATAAAATTCCAATACACATTCAGTATCTCAGTTGAATTGTAACATATTAAATGTTATATTTAATTAACCAGAAGTTTGTTTACTTTCTGAGGGCACATAGAGGGGAATAAGGATGATACATGGAGTATCTACATTGTATTTATTTGGATTTTTATATTAGAACACCACCATTTTGGGATTACTACACATTTGGTGGGACTGTTTGGAGAGAAAATAGTCTAGATTTTGGGACATTCAACCTCAACCTTGTAACTTAAAATAGTGCAAACTGAAGTAAAGATATAGTGTTCTTTCTTTTTTTTTAAAGATTTTATTTATTTATTTGACAGAGAGACACAGCAAGAGAGGGAACACAAGCAGGGGAAGTGGGAGAGGGAGAAGCAGGCTTCCCGCGGAGCAGGGAGCCTGATGCGGGGCTTGATCCCAGGACACTGGGACCATGACCTGAGCCGAAGGCAGATGCTTAACCGACTGAGCCACCCAGGCACCCCTTAGTGTTCTTTCATCTATTGAATGGACAAGAGAAAAGAAAGAAATTCAGTACTGATAATGTAGAGAAAGGAATTTTTACATGCCACTGAAAGAATGTAGGTTTGAGTAATTTTCAGAAAAAAGATATAAAATATACACATATACAGATATGCATGCAGGACAATATTTGTCAGGATATAGGAGAAATTTTTTAAATTGCTTACTTCTGGGGAATAGGATTAAAGAATGGGGAATTGTTGCATTAGTTATTTCTATACTGTTTGAATTACAGAAGAATTCGCATGTATTATTGCAAGTTTAAGAAATAAAGGGGAGCTATGAGAAATATCTAAAAGAAAACCAAATCTAACAAAGAAAGTAGCATAGGGGCACCTGGCTGGCTCAGTCAGAAGAGCATGCAACTCTTGATCTCGGAGTCATGAGTTCAAGCCCTACACTGGGTGTAAAGATTACTAAAACAAACAAACAAACAAACCCCAAAACCCAAAAAAACCAAAACCAAAACAAAAAACCTAAGGAAAAAAAAAAGAATGGATATTAAATTGTCAGATCCAGGTTCAAATCTCAACTTGCAAATTAGAACTATATGACTTTCAGCAAGGTTCTTTCTGAGTACTTACTTTTAAAGCACAGATAAAAGTACCAGATTAAAAATAGTACCCCGTCAGGTTGCCTTGAAGATTAATACATTAACATGCAAAATGTCTATTAGCACAATACCAGGTGCAGTTAATCTGTTTCCAGCTTTTTGTTGAGACAGGTTCTTAATCCATCCCGTTCAGTGTAGTCTTTCTAACAACCCTGTATGAGTATGTACCAGTATCATTCCAATTCATGGATAGGAAGATGATACATTTTCTTTTAAAGATTTTATTTATTTGACAGAGAGATACATAGCAAGAGGGGAACACAAGCAGGGGGAGTGGGAGAGGAAGCAGCAGGCTTCCCGCCAAGCAGGGAGCCCGATGTGGGGCTCGATCCCAGGACTCGGGGATCAGGACCTGAGCCAAAGGCAGATGCTTAACGACTGAGCCACCCAGGCGCCCCAGGAAGATGATACATTTTAAATGAACTTTTTAATGAATTTTTATTTTAATTTATTTTTTAAAGATTTTATTTATTTGACAGAGAGAGAGAGAGAGCACAAGTAGGCAGAGCGGCAGGCAGAGGGAGAGGGAGAAGTAGGCTCTCCGCTGAGCAGGGAGCCTGATGCGGGACTCGATCTCACAACCCTGGGATCATGACCTGAGCCGAAGGCAGATGCTTAACCATCTGAGCCACCCAGGCACTCCCTTAATGAACATTTTTAATGAACATTTTAAATGATACATTTTAAATGAACTTGCCTAGCTAGTGAGAGGCGAACCTAGGATTCAAAGCTAAGTAAGACTGACATCAAAGGTCCTATTCTTGTTAACTATGCGCTAGGCCCTAAGTAAATGATGCTCTTGTTTCTTTTCTCTCTTTATTCCTTGTTAGCACTGAGTGTTGATAACTAATCTTATAGAAAACAGGATTCACAATCTTTAAAAAAAAAAATCATCATTAATTTTTAAACAGTGTTTTAGCATTTGTTAACCAGAAAATTTCATTAGGTACAACATCTTCCTCTCAGTGAATTTTGGGTAACCAAGAAGTCACCATATAAAATAAACATGCCCAAGTTAAGCTTGAGAATATATAGATTTTCAGCATTTCAGACAGTGGGTAAGTTACAGAGACAGAAAAATTCAGAAGAAACAAATTATACTTTTATTTTTTAAAAAGATTTTATTTATTTCATAGAGTGTGAGAGAGAGAGCACAAGTAGAGGGAGCAGCAGAGGGAGAGGGAGTAGCAGACTCCCCGCTGAGCAGAGAGTCCAACATGGGGCTCGATCCTGGGACTCTAGGATCATGACCTGAGATGAATAACTGCCTGAGCCACTCAGGTGGCTTTTAAAAACCAGTACTTTGTGGGAAACCTTTAATGCCCCAAATATTTCGTGTGTCTGGTTTTGTTAGCTGTGGTGAGCCCTGAAGACGTCCTACGTGTGTGTGGGGGGGGGGCGGGCTATGCTATCCCACCGAGGCTTCAGGCTTCGAGACAGTCAGTGTTTGTAACTGCAGCACATTCAATTATAGAACAAACACATAGGGAGCTCCTCTGATCCCAAATGAGAGGAGATTTTCACCAGGACGGTGGTCAGCTGACGTCATTCATCTAATTATGCATATATCTTCCTGGGGAAAGCAAAGTGCCGTGTAAATAAGTCAGAGGAATCTTTTACATTTCTCAGCAATGTGAGTATAGAAGTGAGGTTTTCTTGGTCTTTATAAAATGAATACTGAAGTCGGGGAGAAACCAGTTGTTTGATGCTTCAACTTTGAAAATGTAAGAAAACATGGGCAAGGCAGTCAAGGTTGCAAATGGGCTGTAGATCTTTTAAGATCTGAGTAAAAACAGGGCGCCTGGGTGGCTCAGTTGGTTAAGCGACTGCCTTCGGCTCGGGTCATGATCCTGGAGTCCCGGGATCGAGTCCCGCATCGGGCTCCCTGCTCGGCGGGGAGTCTGCTTCTCTCTCTGGCCCTCCCCCTTCTCATGCTCTCTATCTCATTCTCTCTCTCAAATAAATAAATAAAATCTTAAAAAAAAAAAAAGATTTGAGTAAAAACAAAAAAGAATACCCTTTACATCTATACCTACAGAATTATCACACAAAGCTGAATCTCAAATGTCACTTACTCCATAAATCCTTTCCTTCTTCTTGGCTAGAAGACGTCTCTTCTTTCTCTAACCTCACTTAACGTTTTACCTGAACTTCCTATGTCACTTACCATCTCCTTTGTATCCTAATTACATATGTACGGCATTGATCTTCCCAATGAGGCTGAAAGATCCTTGAATCCAACATCTGTGCCTCATTCATTTCCTTTGATTTCCTTTGTCTGATCCTTCTTTATATTCATCCTAGGTCTCTCTCATTTCAAAGTCAATGCTCTTTATAACTCTACTATGAACCCCTTCTAAAGCTTTTCCTCTGTTTTTAGTTACTGGGTTAGTTTGAGATGGTTCCAGAGAGGAGGGTTTAAAGTCAAAATCTAGATGGAGAGGAGTCAGGTAAAAAAGGAAGTTGGTGTTGAGAGAGGTCAGCAATAAAGCATGTGCTTTCCCA